GTTACGTGTTATATTGAGGATCACACTTATTTTGATTTTTTAAATTAGATTTGTATTTTTAGTGCTCCTTGTTAGTATTATTTGAAGTCGCCTTAACTTATTTTTTAAAGGATTTATTGTCAATAAAATCTATAGCCTGTAAAACGAAAAAGAAATAAAAGTAGTTCACATTTTACCATTCATTTCGGCGTATAATGTAAAAATTTAATTGCACTCATTGTCACTTATCTAGAATCAAGAGTTATAATAGTAGCTTCAATTAGCGATTTAAAATTAATGCAGTACATAGTGCACGCATACAAAACATGACATGACGCCTTGCATGCTAATAATCAAGTATTCACAAAGGGTATGAAAGCACTGCTAATTGTGTAGGTACCAATTGGACACGTACGATCTAGTCGCTACGAAAACAGTGCACGCTTTAAAACTACTAGAGATAGACATCATAATATATATGCTTGCTGTATCGATATTCTAGTATACGGTTTCGTTTGTTGAACACGAGCCAAATTACATCGCAATTCGTTAATTCCAGCGCTAATTCACAAAATTACGTTATTGACATGAATGCATTACTGAAACGAATTTTGTCAATTAGTTATTTTTTTATTGAGTGTTAGCAACGGCAAGTACTGGTCCAAAAATAAAGAGTGTTAACAAGATCCAAATAAAATAATTCGAATGCTTATTACAAAACTCTTTGTAATCTAAACGTGTAAAATATTACTTAAATAAAAATGGTGCTGAAGAAAATAAATAAAGCTCCCGATTAGAGCAGAACATCCCGATTATTTTTTTCCCGATTACCTTTAGAAAATCGAGATATATTTTTTTTATAATACGATAAGCATTGCCTAATAAGCCGATTATATGTTTATAATCAAAATCATAAATTGGCAAAGTAAACATTTTAAAATTATTGGTGGGTAAAGTTCATTAATACAGGACTATGGCAGTAATAGACCTTCAGATCTATTTAGATGTGTTTATTTTTATACCGCAGAAAAACCAAATCACGGAATAACCCCAAATATACAGGCTTGCAAATATTTTCACTGAGCAATTTGGAACCTGTGACTCCAGAAGATGCAGCTTCTATCGTCGACGAACTTCCATCGTCATCGAACGGAATGACTACATTACTGAAAAATGACAGCATAATTGATTTGTTAAAAATCACAAAACGAATGGTTGGGGTCTGATATTTGAAATTACATATAAACATCTAGTCATACAAGGCCAGAACAAGCATTTTAATAATTAATAAAAATAATAATACCCTCACACATCTCACACACGGCTGTCTGATCAAAAACTAGGCAGAGCCTGTGCTATGGTAACCAGACTGCTGATAAACATACTTATCTATTTCTAAATACATACATATTATAGATGAATTACACCCAGACACAAAACAAATGATCGTGCTCATCACACAAATACTTGTCCTGGGTGGGAATCGGACCGACGACCTCCGGCTTAGCAGTCAGGGCCACTAACCACTAGACCAACAGGCCCATCAAAAAAAAATAATTAGAAAACCATTATTTTTTTAAACAATGTAAAAAATTCTTTCAGGTTTTACTCGTAATAGGGTTGACAAATTCAGTCACCGTAATGTTGCAACCACCGAATAATAAATAAAGGCCGAATGTATTCATTCGCCAATTTATTATTCCTTAAAATGATAAAAATAATAACCGCACTAGCGACATTGTACTACAAAGAGGCGAATACAATAGTAATCTATAGATGTCATAGAAATGTACTAATACTCGATTAATGCGAATGAAACTGTAACTTATGTTTATTACCTAATAGTTAACGATATTCAATTTGCGCAAGCTTTAATATAACGACGAAGACGTATATGTGTTATTCACATTATTAGTGTGAGAACTATATTAAAAGACGTAGAGTTGCAAATAACGTTGAAATTACACAACATTAAACTTTATTTTCTCTTAGTACAGAATATTGTGCCAATACACCAAATTATAAAATTGTAGGCAAATAAAAATTATACTAAAGTTCGACAATGGTTCTAATAGCCACTAAATAAAATAAATAAGAAAATAATTGATAAACAGAGGAAAATAAGATTGTAACTGTTTTGTTTTTATATATATATTACTCAAGACATTTATACAATCTTTACATGGCTCCGTAGTCCTGACAAGGAATATATCCTTAAAGCCTTATAGCCTCGTCACGTACGTGTGTATGTCCATCTATCTGGACAAGGCTTAGGTAATATACTGTTAGTATTAGAATACGCCGACAAAAAAACTTTAGTGTAACTCACCTAAGCCCCTCACACATTCTACACGTGAAGTGAGAAGATTTTTGTTTTCTCTACTCCATAGTGTGGAGTATCATAGTTAAATAGGGTAAATAAATTCAAATATATAAGGGGGAATATTTTTCTCTTCCCGTCTGGAACATTTTGTTTTATTATTTTTAGTTTAATTTTTATCACTTAAAACGATTCCGATTGTAGGTAGCTAGGTAATAGTCCTTGTAAAATTTAACTATATTTTACTTATACATTACCTCGGGTTCTTATTCCGTTGAAAATATTGGATTGAACAAATTATATGAAACAGATTAAAAAGGGAAATATTTTATTTCGTTTCGTGATTTCAGTTGGTGAAAACATTGGGAAAAGGTTTTGGTAAAGTTCAATTCTTACAACCATGTGATTGCTATAGCTTTTCATCACGATATTTAAGAAATTATATAAAATTAATATAGTACTATTCATTAATTTTATTAATGAAATCTAATAAAATAAAATAAAAACAAAAATGTATGTAATTAATATGTCATTCAAACAGTTTGACCTTCCGTCAAGAATTCCGAGTGCACAATACCGCGATAGTCAAGAAAACAGTCAACATGACTTTGACTTTTAATCGACTTTGGCGTGGTTTTTTCGGTTTCGGTTCAGTTGGAAGGCGCCACTCCAAAGCTTGTTCACTAGTTTGCATGTCAAACTCGTAAACCCACGTCTCGTCACCAGTAACAATGCGTTTCATGAATTTTGGCTTGGAATTGACTCGTTCTAGCATGTCCTCAGCGACTCTCATGCGAATGAGTTTTTGGAGAAAATTCAGGTTTTTATGGACTAGCCGAGCGGTAACATGTTTCATACCCAAATGATTAGTTAAAATGGTACGGATCGACTCGTAAGATAAAGAAAGTTCAGCGACTATCTCTCTCAAAGTTGAATAAGGATTTTCAGTCACTAATTCCTTTACTTTTGCGATGTTAACTGCAGTTGCAGACGTTGATGGCCTACCAGAGCGAGGCAAATCTTCCATGACATCTCGACCGCTTTTGAACGCTTTGTACCACTCATAAGCACGTGTTTTTGATAAAGTCTATTCACGGTAAGCCTTCTGTAACATTTTCAGTGACTCCGAATACGAAGTTCATTGGCGATGCAAAATGTAAAACAAACTCTTTGTTCGATGTTTTTGTCCATTATGAAATTCGCAATACACACAAGATATGGTGTAACTAAAAACAGCACTGTTTTTAATAAAAAAAACAGATGAAACTCAAACTCCGCGCCAAAATAGAAAACAGTTGTGCCAATCTAACAACAATAAAAAAAAACAAATTTGAATTTGGAACCATAAACAAATCATCTATTCCCGATACTTTTTTGACTGAATGTAAGCTTTATTTTATCTTTTTATTACTCTAACTGGAGAAATGTGCAATTATTATGAATTAATTTATATTTTTTATATACGGTGTTTAAATCAAACCCCATCTGTTATTCCTTTGTTGATAATTTCCTATTTCATTACTATTATACATTTAATTGAATAAGCATAACATGGTTGACTTTTTCTTTTATTAGGCTATTTATTTTTTAGTAACTTGTTGTTACAGAAAGTTTGAAACAAACTAAACTATTTTTCGCTAAGAATCCAAAAATATTATAACACCTTTCTGTCAAGCGCTGCATATGTAAAAGATTCAACATTTGGTGTTCAATAACGACGCAGCCGGTGAACGGATGGATAGACGGAGTGGAATAAAATTTACACTTAGAAGGTACCATATTACGTATACATAAGGTATACTGGATTCCATTTGAAACTTGGCAATCAAGTTTTCGCAAAATTTCATACTTCTAGACCCAGCGGTTTCAGCTGTGTGTTGATCGCTCAGGCAGTGAATTAGTCTGTCAGTTTCTTCTTTTTAGTAAAGTATAACTTGAGATTTGTTTTTTGTCTTCATAAGTTTCTTTTTCTAGTATAGATATATATTTCTTAACAACATATTAGTTGGCAAATGCATTTCAATTTCAACGATTTTGTTTTTCTTTTTTCATATTTAACTTAACTTTTGCTTAACTTTTTCAGAAAAAGCCGGAAATCATCCGGATCCGGATACAAACAGACATGGTAATAAAAGCATTTTCTTATTTGAAATTTAGCTTTGTCGTTAAATTTTATAGTTTTTACGTCAGTTTGAAAAAAACACCATATAAATTCGAAATCCTCTAAAAATATTAGGGTTTCAAGTTTCGATTTTAAAAATAGTCGTACGGAATTCATACGGAAAAGGGGCTTGTTAGACGGGCACACGTAGGCGAATGGGAAAACGAAGCAATCCTCATTCAACTTATAATTATATTATATACCGTTTTTCCTTTTGATTTATTTACTCCTGTCGCGCAATTGAGTACAAGCAAAATGTGCCTTTCTTTAAAAGTACGTATATTTGTGAGCAAAGCCCCGGACAAAGAAGTTTCCTATAATTGTTTGGATATTGTTCTTTGATATTATATCGAAATAACTTAACAATGCAGTAACTTCGATAACGAACTGGGTTTGTGGTACGAAACAATAGATTTTAATCAACAATAAGAGTACGTAACAAAAAGTTATCATTCTGTTACAGTAATTTTACAATGTGAAAGTTGTTTTAAGCGTCGACATTAATAAGAACAAGCTTCTAAGATTTAATTTAGTACTTACTTCTTTCAGCCTTCGTCATGCTAACGTCATCCCGCCTCCAAAATCTAAGCAACGGTACTAGAGCTTTAATTGTCCATTCGCCATTGAGAACTTTCCTTCCCAACCGTTTAGGAACTTCCTGCTCAATCTCCGAGCTTCTACATGAGGAAGAGTCATCGGCGGTCGGTCGGCGGCCCCCACGGAAACTGACGCAACCACAGCCTTCAGCAAGAGAAAACATCGTGGTACTCCTGTCTTGACTATAAATTGTCTTATCTTTCCGTTTCCTCGTACATCTTGGAGCCTTTTGCCGCGATTTAGGAATGGTGACTGCGTTTATGTAGGTTCGTAAACCGTGCTTTCATGACCCAGTCTCATCGACTGAGTGGTATCTGCAACAATAAAAGGGGAGGAATTAAGAGACGTGTTAATAAAATATTGTTAGACAGCAAAACAATAATACGACCTCCATGACAGTAGGGGATTACATTATCATACTATATAAACTTTGCGATATGTCATTAAATAGATTCACAAGCCTTAAAAAAAGAACATGTACAGTATAGGACTTTTAAAACCAGAATCGCATTGCATCTTATTTATACTTTGAGGATTAACCAGGTTAACAACCTACCTATAGATTGGCCCATACATATAGGTAGTACCTAGTTAAAATCATAATACTAAAGTACAAAAACATTTCATCAGCTTTTCAGCTTTACATCTTAAACGCTTATACTGTAATGTATTTTATATAATGAAATTGTAGAACTCCTTACAGATTAATTAATTTAAATAATCTAAAACGGTTATAAACCATTTCACAAGGATCTCTCAAAAATTATAATTTAGTTTTAATCCCATTTGTAACATGAAAGATACTTGGCTTTATCTACATAAATATCAAATGTATATGAGGTAACACAACCCATTCTCATTATTTTTTTTTTTGTTTATGTTAAAGGTCGCAGACGAGCAGACGGGTCACCTGATGGAAAATGACTACCGCCGCCCATGAACGTCTGCAACTCAGGAGTCACAAACGCGTTGCCGGCCTTTTAGGAAGAAGTACGCTCTTTTCTTGAAGGTTTGAAGGTCGTATCGGTCCGGGAATTCCGAAGACGATAACCCGTTACACAGGTTGGTTGTGCGGAGCAAAAAGTGTCTCCAAAAGCGCACAGTAGTGGAGCGCCAACTATCCAGGTAATGAGGATTTATTGGAATTAGAATTAATCATTAACATATATACACTTTCGAGGAACAAACAGTTTCGTCGTTATTTGTGTAAGCACAATTATTAAACACCTAAGCTAATAAGCTAATTACTTAGACCCAACTCCTGATAAATGATCCTTTTAAAAAGTTACCCAATGCTTTGTATTAATAATACAATTTATATTGATTCCCACTCAATGCAAGCAAATATTTGCCCTAATCGACACCCGGCATTACCGTGGCATTAGCAAGATCGTCATTTGGTCAATCGGTTGAAATTAAAACCGAAGTGACGCAGTAAAGCGTAACAACGACTAACAATAAAAAAAAGTCATAGTTTAGGCGATTTAGATTAGAGGTTAGACTGACTTCGTATCGTTCTTGTCCATTCAAAGATTGACTGCAACTGTCCGTTATTACTTTCTGTATAACTTATTTTAAAATTCAAAACTATAAATTATGTTAAGTAGCTGGGTTGTCTGATCTTTGTGTGTCCTGTTTCAGCTCGTTTCTTGAACCCCATTAAAACCCAATAAATAGACTGGGAACTATTTAGTATCCTAGGTATATTCTGCTGTACTACTGAGTATTAACTGTCTCGGTGGTGCAGTGGTAGTGAATGCGACTGCTGTGCTGAGGTCTCGAGTTCGATTCACGGGTCAGAACAAATGTTTGTATTATTTGCAAATATTTATTTCGGAGTATGGGTGTTTTCTATGTTTAATATGTAATATGTATTTACAAAAAAAAGTATGTGAGTATTCTATCAGTCAATCTGGCTTTACTAGACTTTACTAGATGGCGTTGTGTGTCAGATGTCCGAAAAAAAAATTATATTCATAGGTTTATTTATAAGCATACCGATAAAATATTTTTTTTAAGTAAATAATTTTTTTAAGAATTTGATCCTCACCTGAGATTGCAAACCTAGCCAAAAAAAATAGTCTACGGCATCTGGTATTGTTTAAAGAGAGAAGAATAAAAGTTTTTAAAACATACAATATTTTCTGCGATAAAGTGCTTATAGTCACAGTAATAGCGAATAGTATAAATATCATAGATGCCTTTCCACTTTCGATTTAATAAAGATTTCTCAAAAGAACGAAGTATTTTACTTATATTTTGGTTGTCCTTTGCCAATTTTTTAAAACTACTATTATATGGAATAAAATATGAAGTATGAAATTTCATAATATCCTCGAGTAAATCTGGATTAACTCGTGAAGAATAGGGAACAGGTCGTTTACCTTCCCCTAACCGGCCTTTCCCTAATGAGGAGGAACATTGGTTACGAAACTCCTTTTAAGCAGCAGGAAACACGAAACAATTTTCCGATACTATGAAAACTGGAATCTGATAAACTCAGAAACTTCAATAATTAGTACTGCTTGTTATAAACCATTACCGACAGAATTTTGGACGGGGAAAATGTTTCAGTATGATTCCTTCAGAGCATAAACAATCTTTATTATATTTTTCAGTGACAGCCTGATGGTAGAATAGAAATATCTGTCAAACACGGGCGGTTTCAGTTCAATTTTCTCTTGCACAATTATGCTTTTTGTGGGCCATTTTCGTAATAGGAATTTATTATGACTTTTTAACGGCAGAAAATAGATCATGAAATCTTTGTACCTCAGAGTTCACGTGGGGTTCTAGAAGGATTTATAAGTCTGGGTACACTGGGTCTGGGTGAGTGGATTTAATGTAGTCAAATTTGAACAGAGACATATTAGAGATCTCTCAAACGTAAACACTTTTTTGAAAATCTAGGCGAGAAATCTGTTCAATTGCTTAACCATATAAACTCATGTTACTATAAATTTTAATAGAGGGAAGCATTTAAATAGAGAGAAAAGCGAATCAAATCTATAAAATTTTACGACGTATATAAAGCTGTATACGTTTTATATTCTTATCGTTCCACCAGGAAATTGCATATAACCCACAGATGCAACTTTATTGTCTTGGTGTATGATGTTGTTTTAAATATTTGCATTGTTTTTTATATATCAACACATATTAGGTCTTTACCAATGAAGTTGCGGATTTGTTTTTCAAATATAAAAATTTTGGTTATTTTTTATTTTAGCTAATCAAAGTACTGACCTAAATTATCTGTACAATTTTGCCATTTTGATGTCAGTGTGTTTATCCCTTTACTGTACAAGTCTGCTGATCGTCTAAATTTGAAAAAAAAGAAGAAATCTGTTTGGGCAAGGTCCGGTAAGTACGGTGGGTGGCGGAGAACTTTGATGTACAAGTCTGGCACTGATCCACCCGACAGTCACCGTCATCTTCCTATGGAAGTTAAATCTATTATAATATAAGTGTACTACTGGCGTAAGCCATTTTTCAGTGACTTCAAATAAGAAGGGGCTTGATGAGGGAACATTGGACAAATTGATATAACTTTTAAAAATTATAGGTACGCTTAAGCAATTTGGATTTTATTTATAGTATCTTAATAAATTTCGTAAAGTGCAACTATAGAATTTAGATAATAACAACAGATGGTCACTGTTACGCTGTTTACGTTTCGATAACTTTTCGCTTTGTTTCTCGTTTTTCCCCGTAACAACAGTCTACACAGCACAAATTATACAATTTACAAAACCACATCTGTGGACTACGTAGATAAATAGTTAAAATATTAATATATATTTCCAAAAGTAATAGAAAGATTATTGTTTAACAGAGAGTCCATAAAAATCGAGCACTCTAAAAACAAAGTGTAATTTATTGTTTATACATCGTAAACTGACTCATGAACTATGAAAGATTCATTGGCCCATCAGTGATATTATCCCATGTGGCGAATGTGCTAATAAAATAATAGCTGGTTTTATAGCATTAACGTAACGTTGGCCATAAAATTGCCAAAAATAGGCCAATCACAAAAGAGGTTCTATACGTATTGGCTTTATCTGAGAAAGCCGGTTTGAATGTCGGTCATGTGACCGATTTACTTTTATTTCCCTCGAATTTTATCTTATGCGGTTCTCTGTTCCGGATGACTGTTTCGTCCTTTTTACTACATTCTGCTGTAAATATCAAAGGAAGGGTAATACCGTATAATGAAAATGTAGATACGCATATTGAGGTAATATGAAGAGAAATGTTCTTTAGAATTTGAAGGTCCTGCATGAATAGCGATTTTATACAAAAATATTAGTTCGATTCCATTTTTTGGGTACTCGTTTTACTAAAGCAATCTGCAAAATGAACTTTTTGAATGAATGAATTAATGAATTATGACAAGATTATATGTATAATATTTTAGACTTTCAATAAATCTTCTTATTGAAGTCCTGTAGAAATAGAAATATAGGTATTATAGAAATATAGGTATATCTTGTAGAAATAAAAATTGATCACATCATGACGTGTCGGATAATTTTCAGCTGATTGGATGGAAACATTCTATGTTATAGCCAACTTGCCTGGCTAAACCAAGCTGTGGAACGGGTTATCGTCTGCGGTATTTCCGGACCGATACGACCTTCAAACCTTCAAGAAAAGAGCGTACTCCTTCCTAAAAGGCCCGGCAACGCGTTTGTGACTCCTGAGTTGAAGACTCTCATGGGCGGCCATGATCACTTTCCATCAGGTGACCCGTCTGCTCATCTGCGCCCTCTAACATAAAAAATATATATATATATATATATATATATATATATATATATATATATATATATATATATATATATATTTATTGCTGTTATAAAGTGTCATAATGACATTTCACTGTAGGTACTTTTATCTTTGCACATTATTATTCACTTTAAAACAGAGTAATGAATAATTGTCAGCCACGCTACAAACTGTGGATAATAAAACTTTTTTACGATATGTCCACGAAAGCTTCACTGCAATGAGCAGTAGTCGTGCGTAATGCTGTTCCAATCGTGAAATGCTAATAACTCATTGGGTCATTGCATCTGCATCCATATAGATATGGGCATCGTGAATTTTCTATTTCTTAAAATACGAATATTCTTCACTTCCACCCCGATTCTTCCCGTG